CCCGGGCATCTACCCCCCACATCTCCCCCCTAAAACCCCCCAATCCCCCCCGAAAAATCCGCCCCACCCCCTCGATCAAGTGAATTAACCCCCGAAAACCGGCAACAATCGGGGAAAAATCGCGTGTCACCAGTGCATCCAGACATTTCTGCGGTGGGGGACACGAGTGTATCGCGCGCGCGCTCTTCCACGGGCGGAAACGGCGTTTACTGTACAATACCCCCCCCCCTCCGTTACCCAGAAATTCCCAAGTATTTGTGTTTATGATTGAGTGTTAGTTGAAATCCGTGTACATATCGTTCTTGACACGGTGGAGAAGGCCCAGTACGACGCCTCGAACAGTAACCGAGAACTGAACCTCCAGCCGAGATTGTCGGTGGTGGTACATATTAAAACACTCAGCCCCCCCTCTCCCAGCGCTCAACAACCTCTCCTGGCCCCCCTTTAGCAGACGGCATTTCGTTCCTCACTCGTATCGGCCCCTCAAACGTTAAACCGAAAGTGCGCGGAAGGGTAGTGCACACGCGGGGGGATAATGCACTCTAACATTTAATAAAACAATAGTATTAACGGTTATTGAAAATCGTGGAACATTGGTTGGTGGTATTGGGGTGATATGGTGGCTTGTGGTTACTGTGCATCGTGCCTGTGAATTGATGCCAGCCAGTGAGGGACGCCATTTTGATATACGAGGATTTTCGGACGTCAAGCAACGCCGTGTGTTTTTGTTAATGTTTTATTGAGGGATTGATTATTTCGGGGGAGAGACGGTGAATTGGCGTTTGCCAGGGAGTTTTGGAGTTTTCGGTTTGGCGTGAGGGGTGCGGGGAGAGCACTCGTGGGTGCACTTGGGAGCTTGACCCGAGAGACAGTGGACGAACACTTTTGTGGCATTGTGAACGAGCCAGGGGTTCAGGTCTTTTTGGAACTGTTTAATTCGGCTTTTTGACATTTTTTTTTGAGTGGAGGGAGGCGGGTCCCTGCGGTTTTTGGGGGTTGAGGTTTTTTTAGTGGATTTCTTTTTTCGGGGAGCCAGTGAGGGAGATCGCCTTTTTTTTGTTTATTCGGAGTTTTTGAGAGAATTGCTGAGGACGGGAGTGGAATTGTGACAGGTGATTTGTGGCAATTGTTGGGGGGTTTTGAGCGGATTTACGCGGTTTTTGGAAGGATTTATGAGGAATCATTGAGGTATAAATGTGTTTTTTGGACGCTCGGTTCACGGTTAAACGAAGTAGATGTGCACCCGTCAAAGGCGCCAATGCGCGTCCACAATTGTTACTGGTGGACGTTTAGGGGATTATTGTATTGTTGAAGATAAAAAATGGCTAAAATCCTCAATAAGGATCCTGTTACGTACGAGAGGGAGCGGGAGAGCTTCCTCAGGGAGCTCCATCATTTTCACGAGACGAGAGGGTAATTATCGTTTAGTTTATCACGAGTTCCTCCATTTGAGTTTCCATTCGGGGGAACATGGAATTGTGCGTTATCCTTGAAATTGATGTTTCGGTTTTTTTGTTGCAGCACGTCGTTCAAGAAGTCGCCGAAAATCAGTGGCAACGAAATAGATCTTTATCTACTTTATGTCCTTGTTACGGCGCATGGGGGATGGATTAAGGTAATCAAACGAAAGTATTAGTTATTATTATTTTTATTGACGAAAACTCCAGGACGAAAGCCCTTCGGAGACGATACGAACAGTGAGCGAGGGGATAATGAGAAATTTTGGGACGAATTGTTCATGTGAGGATTTATGGTGGAGTGGAATAAATTGATTTTTTTTTAATATTCACAACTCAAACAGATTTATCAATTAAGCTAAGTCGAGGCTAATCGCAAAAGGAAAACTGTATTTTTCATTTAAAGAATTACTCCACTTCATTAACAGGTTAATGAGTCATTAATATTTACAAAAAAAATGACAAATGTCTGTTTTAAGATGATCAAACGCAAGTATTAGTTATTCTTGTTTTTTTATTGATAAAAATCAGGACGAAATCCCTTCGGAGCAGAGAAAAACAGTGAGCGAAACAATAATAAGGAATTTTGTGAGGATTGTTCACGTGATGATTTGTGTTGGAGTGGGGTAAATTGGACACTTGCATTTTTTTTCATATTCACAACTTAAAGAGGTTTATCAACTCGAGGCTTATCACAAAGGGAAAGAACTGCACTTTCCATTTTTAAAAATTATTCCACTTCATCAACAATTTAATGAGTCATTAATATTTACAAAAAAAATGACAAATGTCTGTTTTAAGATGATCAAACGAAAGTATTAGTTATTCTTGTTTTTTTATTGATAAAAATCAGGACGAAATCCCTTCGGAGCCGAGAAAAACAGTGAGCGATACAATAATAAGGAATTTTGTGAGGATTGTTCACGTGATGATTTGTGTTGGAGTGGGATAAATTGGACACTTTACAACTTTGACACTTTGGGGACAATTGGACACTTTGGAGTTTTTTTAATATTTACAACTCAAAGAGATTTATCAATTTGAGGCTAATCGCAAAGGGAAAAATTGTATTTTCCATTATAAAAATTACTCCACTTCATGAACAATTTAATGAGTCATTAATATTCATTTTAAAAAATGACAAATGTTCGTTTTAAGATGATCAAACGCAAGTATTAGTTATTCTTGTTTTTTTATTGATAAAAATCAAGACGAAATCCCTCCGGAGTCAATAAAAACAGTGAGCGAACCAATAATAAGGAATTTTGTGAGAAATTGTTCATGTGATGATTTGTGTTGGAGTGGGGTAAATTGGACACTTGAGTTTTTTTAATATTTACAACTCAAAGAGATTTATCAATTTGAGGCTAATCGCAAAGGGAAAAACTGTATTTTCCACCAAAAAAATTACTCCACTTCATGAACAACTTAATGAGTCATTAATATTCATTTTAAAAAATGACAAATGTCCGTTTTAAGATGATCAAACGAAAGTATTAGTTATTCTTGTTTTTTTATTGACAAAAATCAGGACGAAATCCCTTCGGAGTCGAGAAAAACAGTGAGCGAAACAATAATAAGGAATTTTGTGAGGATTGTTCACGTGATGATTTGTGTTGGAGTGGAACAAATTGGACACTTGAATTTTTTGAAATATTTACAACTCAGAACCAGATTTATCAATTGACCTCAATCGATGTTTATTGCAAAGGGAAGAACTGTATTTTCCATAAAATAATAATTCCACTGTACCAACACTTCAATGTGTTAACTTTACTGAATTAGCTCTTGCATTAAAATCTTTTTTATTTGAGGGTACCAACAATAATCATTAAAGTAATCAATTCACCTAGACTTGGTTTGAGAAATCACTTTCTTGTTATAACAAGAATTGTCCTCGTCTTTAGGACGAGCACAAAATTTATTGACGAATTTTTTTTTCTCCCATTAATGGGATATTTTGCTCTTCAAAATTTACGATCCATAAATTTCTTGATGCAAGTAAAAACGTGCTACTAAAAAAACTCAGTGTAAAAACGGAAGTATTCAGGTTTCATCTTAGAACGTATTTCACTTTGTATATTCAGAAGAAGGGAGAACATGCAGCGATATATAATAGAGCAATAAATAAAACAATTGGGGCAATTGGGTTGTTGCATTGGGAGGGAAAACTGATTTTTGGGATCAAGTCCATTAGGATTACAAGAAAGTGAAGAACTTTTTTCCTATCAGTGTGATATCCGATAACGGAATGAGGAGTTCTGGAGTCGAGTGGTGGAGAGTAACAGATACAAAGAGGTTTTGGGAGTATTGAATTATCTTGGAGGAAAGGCTGGGGATAATTTCAGGATACCTTTTTGGTAGAGATCTGAATTTCGTACGAAAAGGGTCACTTGACGTTTAGCACTAGAACCACTCAAACGTTTTTGGAAATAATAAATTGTATCGATAGGACTGATTTTATTACAAAAACGGTCTCACGTTTTTCTCTGGGTCAAGGTATTTTCGAGATAATCCCACAACTCAGCAGGAAATGGAAAAAGTTTCTTTTATTCAGAGACGAGACTTTGATGAAAATATTCTGGATAAATTGAATTATCTCAATAGTGAGTGGTTTTGCAGATAAATGTCAACTGATATTTTTCACTGAACCTATTCTTTGTGAGATAATTAGGCGATTCAGGAGAAGAGTAATAAAATAAAACATGTCTTCTAAAATATTGAATTATATCGATAGGATTAAATTTTTTACGAACAAGGTTTGACGTTTTTCTTTGGGTCAAGTTATTTTCGAGATAATTCCACAATTCAGCAGAAAATAGAAGACAATTTTTTTTAATTCAGAAACGAGGCGTTGATGGAACTACTCCAGGTAAATTGAGAATTATCTCAATAGTGAGTGGTTTTGCAGATAAATGTCAACTGATAGTTGTCACTGAATCTATTTTTTTCTGAGATAATTAGACGATTGAGGAGAAGAGTAATAAAACAAGACAAGTCTTCTGAACTATTGAATTGCATTGATAGGATTGAGTTTTTTACGAGAAAGTTCTGACATTTTTGAGAAACGAATGACGTAAATCGCCGCCATTCGTCTCGATTTGAAGATTAGGGACGAAAACAATTTCTTAATTTTTCATCTTGAAATTGTTTATACTATTTTCTATTATCCCATCACCACCGAAGAGCCCTTAATGTTGAAAATTTCATTAGCTGCAAAAAATATCTCAACATTTTTCCCTCAACTCTTTGCTCCGGTGTAAACCGAGATCAGTCAACTCTATTTCTCAAAGAGTCTTCCTTAAATATCTTCAAATCTATGGGGAATAATAAAACTCTCAAGCAGATTTTTTGTACAGCAGCCGGAGAGCTGTAGAAATCACCTACACAAATTGGCTATTCCCTTCCCTCCAAGATACTCATCAGAAGAGAAATCTGAAAAAAATTGATTCATCTCATTTCTTCGATCGACTCCCAAATAAAAAAAATTCTGCATTTCCTATGCTTGACCACTGAAACATTCTGTCCATAATCAACCGTAACAAACAACATTCATCCATCGCTCTCCTCAAATCCACCGCAACAGCCCAATAATCCATTTTGCTGGAGTACGTTGAAAAGGTCCAGCAAAAAATCTCAATGCAAATGTTATGAATTTCTCTGGCTTTCTAACAGCTCCCGTCAATGCGCTCCACATCGCCTCCTCACTCAAGCACTCACAACGCTGAGGAATAAAATCTCCTTAACCCCCTCCTCTTGGATGGCTGAAAATACCCAAAAATAGGGGACAATAAAAATACCGTGAGGTTTACGCCCCAGTGCGTGCGAACCTCAAGTATTTACGTAGACGTAACGAACACGTGTGGCACAGGCGATTACTTCCGGTCGATGAGTGGCACATGCAATGCGCAAAGTTCACGAAACTCGAGGATTTTATTCTCAAATTATGCAAGATCTTGTTGTTCAGTCTTTGATTATTGATTCACATTGATTTTTATTCGATTCTCGGGGGCTTTTTCGGGATAATTGGGATTCGGAGGAGCTGAAGCGCAGCGCTGGGAGGACACGGAAGTGGCGCAAGGTCAGGGTCAGCCGATTGAAGGTACCGCGGGTCCGCGGACTGGATGCTATGGCGCATACATGCACGTTTGAGAACGGAGGAAAGGGAGAGGTGGGCATAGTTGCAGGAGAAAGAGAGATGTGATGGTTTGGGTGGGAAAGTCGCTTCTCTGCCTCCTCTAGTCCCCTCTCAACAAGTGTTATCGGACAGTGTGAGGCCTGATAGAGACGCCAGGCGCCGGGTTTATGAGTTATTGGCCAGCTTCAGGGGCACTTCAGAATCGGAAAAAATTGCATTTACAATGCTTCAGTTCCGAATTAATTTACGCTTTTAATTCGGAGGCAACAAAGGGAAATTGCATGCAGGGATTTCAGATCCTTTCATAAAAAATCCAGTGTAACGTTCTTTCATAAATTTTTCATAAATGATGATAGTATACATTAAAGATATTATTATTATTATTATCAATTTATTATTCCATTTTTTTTATTATGCACATTATATTTTATGTTGCATATAGTACTCTGTTATATTTCGCATGTTATACAGAGTTTATATAATATAGTATAGTATTATCGTAATATCTTTAATGTAGGTATCGTCATTTATAAAAAATCTAATGACACAATATGTCGAATAGATTTGCTTAAAAAAAGTCACACTGGGTGGATTATATATAAAAAAATTGAATACATTCTTGAAACTTTTCCTTCGGAAACTTTGATATTAACTTCAGATATCCAATATAAGATTAGGGGAGAGTGGGGTAAAACGGCCCCTTTTGATTTGAATATGACCAAACAAATAGTTCTTGAATAGTTCGCTTGAAAGGTGAAAGTCGAGTGAAGCACGGCTCCTCAAATTTGCATTTGTTAACTATTAACGAATAAACATTTGGGAGACCGAATAAGCCCTAGCGTCTAACTAAATCCATTTGTTAACAATAACTCGTTTTTTCTGTCAGTGTGGCCTGATTTATTGGTCATCTTCAGGTACGCTGTTAAAACAACAAAAATTAGAGAATCGGGAAAAAGCAAAAAATTGTAATTTTTTAGAGATTTCAGATTTTACTGGAAATTCAATGACTTTCTACATTAT